AGAAGCTGCAAATTGGCCCAAAAGTCCAGGAGAAGGGAGTCAACAGGAGACCCATATGGAGGGTGGTAGATAGGTGGTTGATGTGATAGTCCTGGAAAATTTGGGGGAGGGGGTGGCTTTCTGCTGTAATGTTGGCTGTAGAAGAGCCAGTCCTCAAAAGAGAGGCTTATAGGACTCTGGTGTGGCACCAGGTTCACCGGTGCTGGTAAAAAGAAAAGAAGAGATGCCAATGCAGTAGTTATGGTAGTTTCTGAAGCAGACAAGCTCTGGCTTGAAAGCAATGTATTTAGAAGCAAATTAGAGCACAACTTTTTCTAATGCACAAAGGACCTCTGCCACCTCTTTGCCTGCTCGGATGCACTGTGGAAGGCTCCTGTTCATGAATGCATTCAGCTGAACACAGCGCTCCAACATCTTGCACTGCTTGGTGTTCAGTATGAACACATACCCATTGTTCCTTTTTGGCACCTGTGAGTTCTTAGTCGAGGACCTTCTGGACACAGGCAAATGAATACTTCCTGACAGATGCATCTGAACGCCCAGTGCTCAGCCACACATTTGTGCTGTGTTTCTAAACTTTAGTCAGTTAATGTGCACCACCATCACAACCCTTGCCTTGCCAGTACTATTCAAAATTAGTATAGGTTACAAGCCACCTACACAGCTACTATCCAATCAATTAAAATAGCCTTTTCCAAAAGATTTCCTTGAGGATTTCCAAAAGCAAACTTCCAGTCCATAGGTCCAATGCCTCCAGACATGTCAACCCCTCACTTTGTCTTCATTAAACTTTTAGGCTTCATTCACAAGGGGTGCGTTGCCCACATACAGCATGAAGGTCTGCTTTTTGATGTGCTCAAAGCTGCGGGAAGAAGCGTGTGGGCAGTTCATGTAACTCTATGGAGACGCAGGAGCTATGTGCCCTCAAACACTGCTTCCTGTAGCTTTTGATAAACGCACGGGCCTAAATCCATCATGCATGCGTACAAGGCCACACACCGTCTATCTGTGGCTGTTAAAACTCAGAGTTGTGGAAAGCAGCATGTGAGGGTGCACAGCTCCTGCACCTCCATAGAGTTACATGAGCTGCCTGCATGCTTCTTCCCACAGTCCTGGGCCCATCAAAAAACAGCCCTTATGCTGTGCGGAGCAACATGCCCCAAGGCCTAAAGGTCATTGCTACAGTGTGCTTCGAAAGGCATTAAGTTATTCGCACCATTCCTGCCCCCCAAAAGTGCTTACAATAAAATGTCCCTACCCTAGCCATACACAGCCAACACATAAAAAGCCAGTTGAGCTACCAGTGTGTTTTTGGATTGTAGAGGAAAACCAAGACAAACGATGGGAGAACATACAAGCTTCAAGCTAATAGTGTTGCTGATGGGAACAGAACAAGACTTTAGCAGACACATACCTGTCTGTTGCTTTCACCATTGTGCAAAATTTCTGTGTGTGTATATTAGGACCTATAAGTGTTTTTCCCCCCCCCCCCCCCCTGTAATGTTACAGCTAGGCTGTGGGAAGTTATATTTACTCTAATAAACCCCTTCTGTACTGTGCTGGCATATTTAATTATCAGCTGTAAACTAGATTTGAACACTGTGTGTCCTAACAAAGGGTTACAGACTTAGATGTCTATATTAATGAGAAGAAGCTGAGTCTGACCCTCAATTGGACCCTTTAATTTTACTTTCAAGTTGCTCAGAGTGGCCTAGAATCTGCACAAAGGCCTTCTCCAAAGGGATATCGAAATATGATATGTGTTCCTATTCACCAGCATATCAAAAATCATTTTTGAAAATCTACTTCAAAACATAACAGGGGTTTTCTCAAATTTGACTAGAAAAGTGGAAACACACTTTAAAGCCCAATTAAACCCTCATTTTAAAATCAGCTAAATACATGCTGGTGCATCAAAATACAAGGTATATCTGTGAACAGATCCTTTACTGATTGGAGCAGTATGGAACGGATGTTATGTTTGTGACATCTGTGTGTGTTCAGTTTTTCCTCCCAAAACAGACTCATGTTAGGTCTATGAGCAGAAGGATATAAGTGGACTAGTCCATTTACCTTCAATCCATCATTTTTAGGACTGAAAAAATAAAAAAATTTAATCAAAAAAAGAAAAAGAAACAAGTTTTGACTGGAATTTCCCATTAATCATTCTGTGGTCCATGATAAGGACTAGAAGGGCCAAATAACCTTTTTATTGAGATGACACAGGAAGTATGGAGAGGACAACACTATCAGCAATTTATCGAACACATATAACAAAATGCTTCCAATGGTATAACCAACAGACCAAAATAGAGCAAATAAGAGAAGTTCATTGTTAGGATTTAGATACACTTCAATGTGTGTATAACACTACTTGTTGATTGTTCAATGGGCTCTGTAAAGTGTCAATACCATTCAAATAAGCAAAATAAATATTGGGTGAAAGACTACCCATGCATGGTCATGATCTAGGCATGTGACCTCAGTTAATGGCCCTTAAACTGAAGACAATAGCACTTAGCCTCTGCTGCTCTGCTGGCTTGAGGTTGTTTAATCTCCAACGTAAGGTAAAACAAGCCATTAAACAACGGTGCCCTGGAAAGGCAACTTTAACAAGGTCTAGAACAAAGAAACACAGAGAAAGCTTCAACATGACTTTGCCCTGCAGTGCATGGGTCACGCAACTAAGTCTTGTTAAAAAAAAAAAAAGGTCACAAAGCCATCTTGGGAAAACAGAAAAATTAAGTTTATGGACTTTGAACTCACAACATGCAAGGAAATATACATGAGTGTTTGTAGATGTACTCTGGGTACATAAAGTACCAATGGCATACGTACCATTTAGAAATGCTAGCAACAGATAAACTCTTGACACACTTGACATTTGGACACAAAGCTGTTTATGTGGGTTGTAAAACAGTTCCGTGCTCAATACGATTGTTTTATAATTTTCACAGTTCACATCCAGTACCTAAAGTGTGTGGGGAGTGGCTGACCTCGCTTGTGAACAGACATGCTCACCTGTGCTTGGATAGCTTGATCCTGCCAATATCCTGTCTCTGACTCCTCTCCTTTCTACCTCCATTCTGGCCCTCCCTTCTACACTGCCAAACTCCAGTGTTCTGAGATGTCATCTGTGATCTACTGCGGGCATTACAAGGATGAAAGAAGGTTAAAGATCCAGCAGAACATGGTGTGCAAGATGGTAGCGGTAGCACTTTAGGACCACATGGCCATGCCTTGCAAGGGAGAAGCTTCGGGAGCCAGCTGCCCCCTGCCTCAAGAAGTATGCCAGGCACCCGAGCATGAACCGGGAAGAGGTGCCTTCTTTATCCTTGCCTATTGCTGCCACCGACCACTTTTCTGATAACTGCAGCCTTCTGACCACTCGGCGTAGGGAGGAGAACGGATGGGGTCCTGACTTTGCCTCCCTAGGTGGTTTGGGTATGAGGAAGTCAGTACTCACAGTGGGAGCAAAGGGATGGGATTTACCTCATGAGCTCAATCCCTCTCTTTTCAGTCTGACAGGCCAGATGCAAGGAAGAACTCGTGCTCCTCCACCATGACCTCCAGAAGGTGCATGAGCGTACCACTGCATTAGAAAGCCACCTGAACTAGGTGGAGGATGTGCTACACCCCTGCAATCAGATGTAAACTTACAAAAATCTTGACCTTGAGAAATCTCTTACGACTTAACCTGAGGTTAGTCAGTCTCCCAGAACATGTGGAGGGCTCAATCCCTCTTATTTGGCTACTTGAAGTGACTGGAAAGGAACACCTCGCTCCACTTTTTGCAGTGGAGCGAATGCACAGGGTTCCCCCCAGGCAATGCCCCAAGACAGTTCCTCACCTGTCTCAAGCTACAGAGATAAAGAAAATGTTCATGTTGCGTGTCCAGGACAGGAAGTGAAGGTAAACAATGATGGGAGGGGCTCTAACCCTTCCCTACTCTATCCACAACGAATAGAAATGTTTTGGCTTTACATACACTTTTACAGCTTTGTCACAAGTGCAGTTATTCAGCTAGAATCATCCTATTCCCCTAGGTGGAAATGTTCCAGTAAACCCCCATTGTTTTGTCGAGTTCTTTGTCCACGTATGTTTTTGCTACATTCGAGCAAAAGTGGACATGTTATACCACAGTAGAATTGCTGATGCTGAGATCATTTGTAAAGGAATCACCAAACAAAACCATGGAGAATGGTCAACATAGCCCCTTTTTAAACGATTGACTTTTAGATTGCATCATGTAGCCGAGTTACTGGAGCCCAGTGTATCAAGAACACCCCTGCCAACCTCACCCCGGTTGTACATCATCCACCCAGCCTGGACTTGCAGGAGAATGCAACAGGGAACAATGCTCATATCATTACATGGCAGAGTTATCTGCCGCATTCAGGACAACCCACCACCAGGAGAAGACAACCCATTACATCAGTTGACCAGATCAGTGTTTAAAAAATTAAAAAAGATAAAAGGTGGGGATGGAGAACCCTGCAAAGCTGAACTTTTATGTTTTAAAAGATGCGAGTTTTCAGATCCTGTTAAGTTCATTCCTTAAGCATTATCAATAATATTGAGGAAGAAACCTAACAGTTCTTAAAGCTTGCATTTAAAAAAATGAAAGTTAACCAATAGAGGGTATCACTTAAATTTAAAACTTTCCATAGCAAAGGTAACTAGGTGCACAATGTCCGTAGTTATGAACCCCAGCCCAGAATTTGGCAATGCAGAATGCATCTTCTAGCCCCCTTTGGCCATTCAGCATGTGAGGGGTTAAGGCATCCTAGTCCCATTATCCTAGTTTCCCAGGGGCCACCGGGTGTGACATGTTCCAGGACATTACAGCTAGGTACAGCCAGATCTGGCACAGCTGGATGATGTGAAATGGCTATAGTGTAGCCCACATCCCCTCCCTTCCCTTCCAGGAGCAGCACGACCACCACCACCTCCTTCCCTATTCTTCTCACTCTAGGGGGAGGGTCAGAGCTGGGCAGAGTTTGGGAAAACTCCCTACTGGTGTCAGCTGAGCAGATAATTGAAAGGTTTCTGTCCGACTAGCTGAAACTAGTTGGGAGAACACAAAGGAGGAGATAAGGAGAGCAGAGAGCACTGCTGGCTAAACTCAATCCAGAGTAAGGAGGCTGCTGTGAACAGAGGCAACCAAACAGGTAAGCAGCACCAATACACTGTGTTCCAGCCACATTGCTACTCAAACTTTTATTGTAGTAGTGAGCAGGACCACAGCTACCATCGGCTTTGGCTCAGTGCAAAGTTTTTGAAAGAATCTTCCCTGGACTTGCGATACAATCTTGAGAGAATGAATGGTAGACAGACACACGTATCGATAGGATCATTCAATGTGACCAATTTGATCGAATTGAATATAAAATTGCAAACCAAAGACCCTCCCCATTCAATCGATTTAGAGAACTCTTGATTAATTTTAACTGTCAAGTCATTCGACCATGGCAGAATTTTGATGATCGCTTCTGATCGATCGAAAAAAACATCTGCGTGTTTGTCAGATAAACAATCCTATACATTTATCTGATATATGAATCGCTTTTAATTGCTTTGGATCAATTACTGTTTTTTTGTTTAGATTTACGACTATTAGATTGTATTTTTGATCAATATTTGTAGTCGATTGCAAAGTGCAGAACAATGCCGTGTGTGTTACATTGTGCGATGATAAATCTAAATCACTTGTACCTAGTTCAATCAGAAATCGCCACATATATGGCCACCATTAGGGTTAACATCTAAGCAATACAGACCATGTGTGGAAAGCTCTTGTTGTCACTGCAAACCATTTTCAACAAGTTGTAAAAAAATGTGTGCCTAATTTAAGCATTCCCTTTTCTCTGTAGGAAAAGGAACAAACCCCTCAGTCAAATGATCTCCTATAGAGAGAGATTGAGCAGATTAATTAAGGGAGGAGGGCTAACTGTTGATAAAAAGTCATTTGGACACTGCCATTATTTTTGCAGTGTTATATTAATATGTTTTTGGGTAAGGGATTGTTTTGTGGGGACAAAAGGGAATTGCTGATTGCAGAAATTTACCAGCATGTTAAAAAATCTTTTAGCAAACCCAGCTCTCTTCATCAGTCATTAACTGTCTCTTATGCTAGCCAGTTATCACAAAGCTCAAATAGATTGCATCGCTGGGACAGTGTATATGTATATATATATATTTTATGTCTCTGCTTTTCAATCTTAAAATGCACATTTAGCCATTTCATATAGAGCTTCCACTGTATTCATAACATACCAGAAAAGTATACAAGTTGCAATGCAATTTATGAACTAGGCATAGAACACATTGCACAGACACACATCACCAAAACATGGTGTGTTTCTTATACAAAAGAAACCTGCAATTAGTTTTCAGTAATATTTAACACGTGTTCCCTTTTTCTGATGTTTTAGTATCAAAAATTGTATTGAAAAATGTATTAGCTAAGCCAAAAAATAGAGTTACAGTCCAACTCACCCAACCAGTCAAGTCTTGGTGGAGTACAGAGAACAATAAAGTCAAGGACAATATCATGCCTTGACATAGACCAGACTTGTGTTCTATGGCACCCTGTGCAAAGTTTTACTATGATGGCCCATCAGGCAGGTTAAAAAAAAAAATAGATATTCAGCAGTGCCCTGAAGGTGGGAATATGAGGTCTCTGCTCTGTAATGGTGACCTTACCACATTTTAAAGTTTATTGAGCAATTAGCCAACTAAGCTCAAAATTGGGGCAGCTGATCTGCAATCTCTTTTAAAGCTTTCTTCTCTCTCTCAGGATTTGTAAAATGCAGTGCGAACCGCATCGTCTCAGTTTCTGATTTGCCATTGCCACCTGTAGGTTAGAAGCTAGCAGTTCACATTGCATTTCTAGAGTGCAGCCTTACCCTACGGGAGGGGGAAGCTTTGACAGAGACTGACCCATTGCTTAACAAGATTCCAAGTAATGAGGTAGCTTTTATGATAGTAAAATAACGAGGAGAGAAACAGGCGAGGGACCAACTGCACCAAATGACAAAGGTCACATAACCTAGGTTGGCTATGTCCACTGACTTAGAAAAGTCTTGGATCATATTGGCATGAATGTCTAAGCATTCAGTAGACATTTTGCACTGCTCATCTTGGGGCAACAATTATCTATCAAATGCATATAATCCAACCTGGTCAAAGACTCCACCCCCTATTTTAAGAGTGGCTGGGATTGATAGAGGTCTGAAGGCACCTATGATGTCCAGGACCAGGCAATGTGTACAAAAAGTCAGTGAATTTTTTTTAATACACCTGGTCACATACCTCCCAACTTTTATAAATGGGAAAGAGGGACACCTTTAAGCCCAAAATATTAGGTTTTAAAGCCATGCCCCCATCACACCATGGATCTTACAGTCCATGCAGCTCTAAAGAGTAAATATGACCAGTTAAACCTAATTCTGCTTATTTTCACACCAGCATTTCCTTTATACTAGGGTTTAAAATCCAATAAGTACATAAATCTAAAGGATTGAAAGGTTGAGAGCAATGTAAACACTATGAGCATTTGAATATTACGTAAAGAGAGTCAGGAAATGTTCTTCCCAAAGAGGGACAGTTGGGAGCTATGTGATTAGAAACGTGTGACGCAAGGATAAGGGTACAACTAGCAGTAATCGGGATGTATAAAGGAACAAACAAATGGACGGAAGAAATAAAATCTGGTAAAGGAGTCATAGATCCTTTTCAAGTTTTTGGAATTTTTTGCAGGATCCATTTAGTCAAAATCGTGAAGGAAATCTGTTTAAATTGACAGTTCTAAAAAGAAAGTAGTTCTTTGACTCTTTTGGGTAAAATGATTTAGCAACACCGCATATTCATGGACAGAATTTTAAAATGCTGTACAAAACTCTTTTTGTTCATAATCACAGGTGTGACGCCTATAATAGACAACTCAAAAAAAATTGCAATTGTAACCTAAGAATATGTAAAAGAGCAAGATTTCAGGACTCTGTGGCCTCACCGTCAGACTGATTGAAAAAATCCAATGTTTGCCATTGCAGCTAATTTTTAAAAAATAAAAACCTTTAACTTTTTAATGGCCAATATGATGCAAAGCAGTTTTTTTTCCCTGAAGTCCTGGCACCCATTGTGTACCATTCTCACTACTGAAACTTTTGTGAATTCAGAGGAAACAATACCCAGTGTATGAGCTCACTGGTTGCTGCCGAATGCACCATGGGTAGCCAGTCTATTATCATCTATGTTTGTTGCTCAAGGCTGCAAGGCTCACAGATGCTCACATCAATGATCAACCCATTCATAGCTTGTTGCTGTCCATCACAAGCTCTTCAGGGGGTCTGTAGAGGGGTGGAGAGCTGTGACTATAGTCCAAGTGCTATTGTGGTGGGTCAAAAGGGTATAGAGGTAAAAAGGACAGGATGCAAGGGGTGTTTTTTTCTTTAAACTGTAAAGGCAAATTAGGCACGTGCCTGGGATACCAGTCTTGAGAGGGGTGCATGAAAGAACATTTTTTCCTTCTTTTGTGCCAAACCACCATGCTATTAATAAAGGAATGTGCTTGTTACAAAAATGGCTTAAGGCAGCATCAACGTTAGCTCGATATAAAGAAAAAAACAGAACAATTTTTGGGGAAAAAAACAGGACACTAAGAAGTGTGGAGGTGGAGCCTTTGGCTACCAGAATTTTTTTAGCAAGCAAAACTAAAGTAACGTAAGCCATGACAACCAGTTGGAATTCATTTTTAATTGAGCTAATTCCAGTAATTTGAAATGTTAGCCCCATAGGCGCTTTGTCCTTTACTGAATACGCCTAAATCTCAATGCAGGTCAAAGAACGCTCTATCAGTTGGCCATGGGAACAACTTTATTCTAGTTTTATTAACCACTATGTAAAAAAAAACAAAAGCAGAAAAAAACCAAAAAAAACTTACAATGGAAAGGGGGAAAAGGTCAGCGAAATATATGTGTATTTGCCATTTTGAGAGTCAATATGGCCACAGACATGGGGCCGGGCATGTGGGCAAGATCTCACCACCCTTAGGCTTGGGATAGGCCAGTACTTCCAGAAACATGAACGATTGCATCATGTGACCATTTGTATCTTAATCTATGGAGAGGGAGGCACGCTTACCAGGGTAAAATCAATAGCAATAAGACAAGGCTTTGCAACTTTTTCTTCTTCCCCAACAAGCTTTGTGAGGCCTTTTCTGCTGTGGTCCGTCTCGGTTAAAACAGGAGACTCTTATGTATGGCCACCTTAAAGCATATGTCATGGCAAAAAAAAACAAAAAAAACAATCAATGCAATGCATGCACATTTTGCCAAATTTGATCCATCTATAAACAATGCTAGTACAAACAAAAATTTCCTGTTGATCTTCCAGAAACACTCTCTGCTTCCTAGTCCTGTTGGGGGTTGACAACAAATAGCATTTTGTGCACCAAGCGGTGTCATCCCTGCCCAGTGTCTTTTACTAAACTAACAACCCATTAGCTGTGTATTTTTTATTTTGCCATCCGTGTCCTATTAAGGCGAGTGCCCTTCACTTCCTTTCCTGTAGACTCAACAAAAAAGTGAAAGGAAATCTCTCCAAAGTGAAATCCTTTCTCAGAAAGTTGTCACTACAAGAAGGTCTCAACTGAAAGATTTTTATCTCGGTTATGGAAGACTCAAACTTTTCCCTCAGTATTAGTCCCAGTAACCGTTGTCACCATGACAATCAGAGATAGTAAATCTCCCTAATGAAGACACAGACAGCAAGAAAGCCTCAGAAATAGATATTTTTCCGAAAGAGTAGTTGATGCTTGCAATAGATTTCCAGCAGACGTAGTGAGTCACTCAACAGAAAGTGAACGTAGATCAAAAAAGACACAGAGCATACAAAAAGGTTACAGGAAACAAACAGACTTGATGGACCACTTGGTCTTTTTTTCAGCCACTTTTCTATGTTTCTAATAAAGACTCTTGTTCTTGGGTTTAGTTATCATTTAACTAGCAAAAGGTAGAATCTTTTTCCTCTTGTTATTAAAGAGTGGGTGCTATAAGGGTTTCATGCTGGTCAGTTGATCAGAGTTTTGTTCAAACCATGTGATATGAGAGCCATGCCAATTTTTAAGATTGGCCTATGTATCAGACAATTCTTGGTAATCTTCCTGGAA